CTGCGGGGTCTGCGGGGCAGGGCCTCGGCTGCCCCGGGAGAGCGTTTCCTGGCGGCGCGGCGCCCACCCGCCGAGGGAGGACCTGCGCCCGGCGCTGCTGGCCCTGTGGAAACCCTGCGTGTCTGAAACGGTAAAGTACTCGATTCACACGGAGCGCACTGAGTCCTAGGAGAAGCCTGGAGTCATTTCTCCATCTGGCCTTTCCTAGGTCAGATGAAGAACTTCAGCTCCTTATGTTTTGTTTTGTTTTTAATTTTTATTAAAATAGATTTTTCTTGACTTCAGGGAGAGTTAGAGGGAGATAGAAACCTCGATGAGGAAGAAACATGGGTCACAGCGAGGCTGCCTCCTGTAGGCCCCTTACTGGGGGACCCAGCCTGCACCCCGGGCCTGGGCACCACCAGAATCCAACAGGCCACCTTCCAGGGCAGGGGACCACACCCTACCAGCTGACCCTCACCGGCTGGGCATCGCTCTTTAGCTTCTGACTGCAGTTTATTAGAAGCTGGATATTACTACAAACTATTAGAATTGTGGCTGTTGAATCTTCTGGACTTTAGGTCATCTACTGGCTTCCGGGAAAAGACATGAGGAGATATATAGCCGTGCCCCCAAATCTATGTTGTAAATGCCCACTATGTGGGTGACTGCTTCCAAAATTTGTCTTCTAAAGAGTCTATGGGTTAGAGGCCTAGAGGAGGAGTTGAGAATCTTGAAAATATGCTGTGATATTCCAAGGAGGTCAGCTAACCCAATTCTTTGTTAGTATTGGAATGAAATACCAGGACGTCAAAACGATCTGATCTCAGAAGGCGATAATGGTCTTAATGGTGAGATCCAATTAATACGGTAAAGTATTTGAGAATAAGACTAAACAGTTGTGTCAAGTTTTAGGTTTTTAAAGATTATTGATTCTCCCTTTCCTTTGCATCTTTATTCTAAATATCCGCTTTTTCCCTGTTCCAGGATTATGGAACCATACACCATGCTGTTCCAGTAAACACCCCAGCGCAACCGTGATATCCTGGTTTTAAAACATCTGCAACAAAGGGCACAGTACTTTTCTATTAGTAAGTAGTGAGGGGGAAAATGGCAGCCAACCTTTCGACTATGTATGAATGCAGGTTTAGGGGAATAAAATAGGATCTCTTTTGTTTTCGTAAGTATATTCTCACAGGCTGATGTAAAGGATACATTGCTGAGTGCACAGGAAATGCTGAATCAAGGCCAGGAAGGGAAGAGCAACAAGTGTAGGCCAGCCGCGATTTTATACTAAGGATGGTTCACTGAGTGTGAAACAGAAAGAGCAAGACCAAAGCACTTTGAATTTCCTTCCCTTGAGAATAATTTTATTTTATGGAAAGGTGACTGAGCTTATAACACCAAATATGAACATGGGTTTCCATTTTGTTAATGCGGTTGCTTAATCTAGTATTCTCTTTTCAGTAGTTATTCAAATTAAAGAACTAACTGTGAACATGTTAAACATACTAGTTATTGAATGGATGTATTAATGTACTTGTTTTCAATTGTAATACCCAGTGATTATCCACCTGGCACCCTGGTTATGTCACTCCTTCAGCCCTGAGTGCCTCCCATGGGCCAAGTAGTTGCAGGGAGGAGAGTGGGATTGGGAGACAGATGCGTCCTTAACCCTTCAGGGGCTCACTGGTAACCCTTCAGGGGCTCATTGTTAACTATTGTCCAAGGTGCGGTGATAGCATAGAGAAAGGATTTGCCACTCACCACTTCAAAGTAACAACAGCAAAGTGCACAGTTGGCCTGACTTCCTTTGGCCCTCTCTCTACCCACTGTGTTATTAGCCAGACTTACAACAGTGTGGTATGAAACTAATTTTGAAAATATTCCTAAATGTGTGTTCAGAGCCTTATGAGATATCTGTATGACTTTGATTTATAACTCAGTGTAGGCAAGGAAGAATGTGAGGCATATTTCAGATAAGGCTGCTCTTAAAAGCCTGTTCACGAACTTAAAGAGCTTTTAGAAATTAATGGTTAGTAGCCATCTAAAGAGCATTGAACTTTCAATCTTAAATGTATCTATATAAAATACAAATAAACTCCCAACAGATGCAGTGGGCCTGTTATGGGACTCCGTTATCAATGAACGTGAACATCTAGCCACTAAGTCCAGTTTTTTAACTGAAATTTGAAGATTTATGAAAGATAATTTCTTCATTAGGAATCTTTGGTTACATGGATTCATAGTGTGGTGGTTTATGGTATTTGATGATAATCTTTTTAGTCATGGATGTAAACTCTACATAATTTAGTCTTTAGAGGATTAATCAGCAGATTATGTAATTAATGTCACCTTAAGTTATAGTTTACCAATAACGCTCAGACGTGCTAACCTGACATCTCTGCTCTAACTTGTGCTTAACTTCATTTGAGGTAGTTCATAACTTCAAATCAAATATTTGGTTATCCAGGGAAGGTATGCATATCTAAAGGTGATCTGAATCTTCTCTCCCTAGAGGTACTATATCTAAAAGAAAATTAGAAACTTTTCTGATTGTAGTAGAAGGAAGAAACTGACTGATGAAGGTTTTGTTTCTTAAATTTTACTTTCTTGTCCAAAAGTGGCCAGTTTATAATATGTTATATTAGTTATAATAGTTATATGCAGTGCCTTAAATTTTTATATTTTTATTAATGCAAACTATAAAATTTCCAGTAAATGTGAAATAATTAATAAATGCAGATCTTATGAACACTTCTAAAATTAACAATTTAATCAAATAACATGCATTTATGGAAGAATTTATGAGCTCAGAAAACTACCACACATTGTAAAAGATAATAATGAAAATATTAATAATTTCCATTTATTGAGTATTCTATGCCAAGCATTATATTAGTTGTTTTATGTATATTATGCGTTTCAGTGTTCAAAGCAAACCTATGCTAAGATAATCTACACTTTACAGAAAAGAAAACTGAATCTCCAAGAGCGTTTCCCAGCACTGACGTTTTTAAAAACTATGTTCTCGACCAATAAACTATAGAAAGTTGTTAGCTAGGAAGTAAGTGTCACAGAAAGCTGAGCCACAGGAATTCAGCTACAGGGTAGAATCCTGGTTACCTTTGCAGTGATTATCCTGTCTTGAGTGGTTATTATAAAAATACTATGTCAAAAAGGCAGCATCCAAATTTTAGTGTGCCTAAGAGCAGGCTGGTAAGGGAAGAGAAGGGGATGTTTTACTTACTCAGATTAAGAGCTACATGGGAGCCAAATAATGTCAAAACCAATGTCAGACAACTGGCAACGAAATGTGAAGCTATTGGTGTAAAAGATTCCGTTTCAAAAATTTATTGACTTAGATTTATTTGCACAAATGGAACTTGCTAAAACAGAAATAAGTGAAATAGATATGGTACTCTGGCTTCTCTTCACCTTCCTTCTTCTGCCAGGTAACGCAGATACTTCATCCTGCTCTGAGAACCAACGGTAAGTGATCACTCATTTATTTTAATGTAAACATTTTATTTGTCAATCATTTTTTTTTGCCCATGGTAAAATGATATATTTAATCCATCCATGATTTTCAAAACTTTATGGTTAAATTTTTATTGAGAGAATGATCTCAAGTAAATTTTACTCTTTTATTCACTATATCAAATTGAAACTTAAATGAAATCTTTACATTTCATTCTAAAATAGATACTATAAATAATTCCCATGTTTATGACTTTGAAACAAGTGAAGTAGAACTGTCTTTAATAGAAAAACATGAAAGCATGACAATTTGTATATATTATATAAATACTTCTGGGGCATCAGTCGTTTCTTCGGTTTCTATTTTACTGTCCCTATCAGAGACAAAGTTGGTTCCACTGTGATTCTACTGGCACCATATGACAATCTTCTCTTGTTACATTATGAACTTGGGAGTCACAGTTGCTGTGAGATAAAGATGATCGTTACACTGGTTTTCCCCTCTTAGCCCATGTACCACACTTTTCAATGCAGACCTTTGTTCTCTTTAACTTACTTCCCAGCAATGGCCTTACTCCCAGTGATGGTGCTTCTGGCTGCTGTCCTGATTCCATCTTTACCTACAGAAGGAAAGGTAACGTTAGGGTGGAAAATCTTTTCAGGGCCCTCCAGGCAACTTTGTGGGATGGCAAGGCACTCTGAGAGTGGGAACGGCAAGAGTGTCCAGTACATCACAAAGCACTACTCCGTGGTTGCTCAGAACACTTAGCACAATTATCTAGATAGGGAGAGTGACTGGGGAGGGGGAAGGAACAGGGGGGAATGGGTTATTGGGGAGAAAAAGGGACATTTGTAATACTTTAAACAAAAATAAAAATTAAAAAAAAACAAAAAAAAAAACCTTAAGGCTGTGCTGTCCAATACAGTAGCTACTAGTCTCATGTGGCTATTGAACACTTGAAATGTGGCTTGCCCCAAACAGGATGTACTGTAAGTACAAAATACATTCCGGATTTTAAAGATTTAGTACCAAAAAATAAGAAGAGGAAAATATTGCATTAGTAGTTTTCATATTGACTACATGATGAAATAGTATTTTAGATAATTGTAAATTTAGGTCATTAAATTGCATGAACTTCATAGAACAATTCACACACCCTACTCTACCTTCAGACTTAGACTTCCCACATTCCCACACACAAAGATAAACCAAAAATATCGGCACCTGATTTAATAACTTAATTATATTTCTGTTAATAAAGGAAAACATTAGCAATAGTCCATTAATTGGATGGCTTTGCTTTCTCCAAATTGTCTTGGAGATTTGTTTAATATTGCAAAATTGCCTTTTTAGTGATTCCGTAAAATCTAACCACAATAGGCAGAATGAATTTTCTAGAATTTTGAATGCACTTCGACTGAGCTTAAGTATTCTTTCCCTAATACTTTCTAAATACATTGTCTCTCGGTACAGATACCATGTCAGGTCAGTGTCCTCCAAGTCTAGAGTCAACCTTGATCTCCACCCTCATTTCCCCTGCTGCAGCCTGATCAAATGTAAATGAATACATCTTAAGGTTCCTATTGTGCCCCTTTGTGGTTATAAAATATTATCACTTGTATGTCATATTAAGAGTTTCCTTGAAGCTAGAAACAGGCATTTGTGGCCTTAAAGGATTTTCTAAATTTGTCATGCCGCGAGTTACATTTCTGTTCTCAAAGCTTCAAGGGACTTCTTTCCTGTATGTCATAGCTTTGACAGATTCATTGGCAATGCTTAACAACTAATAGTGGCTTGATCTCAACACTTTTTAAAGTGATCGGTGCTTCCTTGAATTAACTCATTTACTCTTATATGTTAAAATTTTTTCAAACATCTTAAAAAACTTTAATTTTATTTCCCTTTAGGATCCAGCCTTTTCTGCTTTGGTAACCACTCAAACGCAAATCCAAAAAGAGATTGTAAATAAACACAATGAATTAAGGAAATCAGTCTCTCCACCTGCCAGCAACATGCTAAAGATGGTAAGAGGCAGTGATGTAAGGAAAGTGGTGGGAACAAACGGTGCTGAGAGCAGGCAGCTGGTAACGGGCATCTGTTAAGAACTTGGTGGCTTACAACATTCGACCTCTGTTTTGCTATTTCATTTGAGCTGTGTTATGGGCAAGGAAGAAAGTCTTAATTTTACTTTAGGATGGTTAAATAACTTAAGTTTACAGGGCTGTAAAGTTGGAAAGGCAGAATTAGAAGCCAAATCTTCAGGCAAGAAATATGTAGCTGTTACTTTTTTTTTTCTTCACTATCTTTCCTTGTCTGAAATAAATCCCCTTTCTTTCAGAACCAGTGCCATTTAGGGTAAATAGACCATTTTCCAGGGCATAGGCCCATAAAGCTAAATATCTCCTGTATGAAAGCAATGGGCTACAAATGGAATTGGGAATAATCTAGGCCAGCTAATTACTGTTTAAATATAATGATAATACTTGACACATTGATTAGTATTTAGAACATACTAAAAATCCTAGGTGTGGCTGCTGTGAGGTCATAGTCAGATATTATTGTATTAGACATTTCTCTCATTAGATACATCACTTATGGACTGTCTTTGTGGGAAACTGACATTTCAGCAGTAAAGACACACCAACAAAAGATATTTTAGCCCAGCCAGCATGGCTCAGCGGTTGAGCATCGACCTAGGATCCAGGAGATCTCAGTTGATTTCCAGTTAGGGCACATGTTTGGGTTGTGGGCTCGATCCCCAGTAGGGAGCATGCAGGAGGCAGTCGATCAGTGACCCTCTCATCATTGATGTTTCTCTCTCTCCCACTTCCTCTCTCTGAAATCAATACATATTAAAAAAACAAAAGATATTTTAAGACCAGTGACAAATAGATAATACATCTACAGAAGTTTTGAATCAGATTATAATGCATATGCTTTGTTGGGGTTGAATTTTTAAGTGTATACTTTTTTCTTATGACACTTAGGAATGGAACAGAGATGCAACAACAAATGCCCAGAAGTGGGCAAACAGGTGCACTTTAGAACACAGTAAACCCGAGGACCGGAAACTCAGTACGTAGCTTAATAAATATACGTTGAATAAATGAAGAAATGAAATAACGGTGGGCAAGTAAACTAGAATGGACCATTCTGGGGCGTTGCATTAAGACAGTGAATACCTGTTACTTATACTTGCCAATCAAGTATCTGTATACAGAGAGATAGTTATGATAAGTACCATTTTGTGCTTATCAATTATTTATGTTATGCAAATAATTCCTCAAGCAGTATCTCATTTGTTCCTCTCAACCAGCTCGTGAGTAAACTAGGAAGTGGACATATATTGGAACATAACCTGATGTAGTGACATATATTGGAAAGTTAACCAAGCTTTCTGATTTCCCCTCCACTGTCCTTTTGTGATATTGTATAACCATTTGGTGTTCTGAAATCTATTTATTTTGTGTTCATAAAAAGTATTGAATTATGTGAAGTTGTTCCCGATTCTTTTTTAAAAAAATACTGAACCTTTTAAAATCAAGATGGATAATTTGGGTATGCTGATTCATTTTTAAAACTTTTGATAACATTACCTCCAAGTATTTTGTATGGACTGTGTGACTATAATGCATAGAATAATATGCTAGAGTCAAAAAACGTATAAGACATATCAAGGATCCAAGAAAACTATGAAAGGAAAACCACCTGTGTGCATAAACTTTACATACTCTATTTACATTATCAAGCACGGTACACATACAGGCAAGCCTACTTGGAAAGTAGCAAATAATTTACCTGTCATTTCAGTAGAACTATTACTGTTTGTATTGTTGGTGCTCACGTTATAATGGAATTATGAAGAGAGATGACTGCATTCAGTAGAAGATTGAAACAAATGTTCTTAAAGATCCAAGTCTTCCGCTAGATTCTTAGTTTCTCTCCTTTGCTATTAAAGGGGATATTTTATACTCATGTAGAAATTAAATTTCAAGCCATCATAATGTAAATATTAAGTGAGGTCTTGAAAAGATAAGGAAATGTTTCGGGGCTACAGGCCCTTGTTTCTTTTTTTAAATTAAGTTTATTTTAGAACATTTAACATGAGATGACCCTCTTAAAATGTTGACTGTACATACACTGACTCTGGGTGCAGTGTCGGACAGCAGACCTCGAGAGCTTATTCATGTTGCATAACTGAAACGTTACGCCCGTTGATTAGTGGCTCCCCATTTCCTCTTCCTACCAGACCCGACAATGACCATTCCACTCTTTGACTTGAATACTTTAGACACTTTATATAAAGTGGAGCCATTCAGAAGTCATCTTTCTGTGACTGGTTTATTTCACTAAGCATAATGTCCTCAAGGTTCATCCATGTTGTCGCACGTTGCAGAATGTCGTCTTTTTTTAGAGGATGAATAATATTCCATTGTGCATATATCACATTTTTAATCCATTCATCTGTAGTGGATATTTGGTTGTTTCCACATCTTGGCTGTCATGAATCGTGCTGCAGTGAACATCAGAGAGCTCATATCTCTTTAAGATCCTAATTTCAATTCTTTTGGATAAATACTCCAAAGTGGAATTGCTGGATCATTTGGTAGCTCTACTTTTAATTTTTTGAGGACCTTCCATACTCTTTTCCATAGCAGGTACATCATTTTGCATTTTAACCAACAGTGTACAGGAATTCCAACTTCACATTCTCACCATCACTTGTCTTTTGTTGTTGTTTTTTTTTTTATAATAGGCATTCTGATAGGTGTAAGGTGATACCTCACTGTGGTTTTGAGTTGCAATTCCCTGATAACTAATGGTGTTGAGCACCTTTTCATATACCCGTTTGGCCATTTTTACATCATATTTGAAGAAATGTCTATTCTAGTCCACTGTGGTCAGAAAAGATCCTTAGTTTCCCAGGCAGCCCCAAGAAATGAGTGGTCTTTGGGCAAATCCATTAAATTCCATTAAATTCTTCCCTTCTCCAGGGAGAGGCTAGGAGCTAACTTCTTATCTGCTCACTATTTGCTGGACCAGAAAGGGAAACTATGGCAACTATCAGCCCAAATCTCTGTCTCTGTTTTCACTTGCCCCAGGCAGCTAGGTTATGCTAGGTCTTGTGAACATTCCCAAACAGTCAAGACAGAAGCCAGTTCTTTGGTCAGCCTCTGGAAATTTGAGGCATTGGATGCCCAGGCCAACTTCTTTCTTCCCCAGGGAGAAGCAAGCAGCTGTGTTTTTTGTCTGCTTGCTCTATGCTGAACTGAGAGGAAGATTTATGGCATTAGCCAAACCAAACTGCCTTCTCTCTTCTCTCTTCTCCCCAGAGGGCAAGACTCTGCCAAACCCATCAGAGCTCCAAGACTGACAAGATAGATGCCAGTTCTTTGGGTAACTCTGGCAAAATTGGAAATTTAAATTCACTGATCACTCTTTGCCTCCAAAGCTGAGAGCTAAGATTTTTCATTTTCTTATTCCGTGCTGAGTCAAGAGGACACAGTTATGGTGTCTACCTGCCCAAGCCACCATATCCATTCTCCTTCAGGTGGCTAGTCTGTGCCTGGCTCTCAGAGCTCCAAGACCTGCAAGACAGAAACCAGCCCTCTGGAGAGTCCCCTTGGGAAAGTTGGGATGCTGGGCACAGGAACCAAACCATTCCCTCCCCTGGTAGGAGCTGGGAGGTGGGGGTCTCTTCCTGATCATATAGCACTGTGCTGAGAGTAAGGCATCTAACAAGTGTTCCAATCCTCCTGCAGGCTTCAGTGGTTCTGGTTTCATATTCTGCCAGGTATAAGAGCCCTTCAATTAGCTTTTGGATTTCTCACAAGGGCAATTTGTTCATGAACTGTTGTTGGTTCAGTGAGTTGGGGGCGGGAAGGTCCAGGTTTTCTATTCCATCATCTTGCCGATGTCACCCTCTATAAAGTCATTCTTGCTTTACTCTCTGAGGAGCACTTAATGTTGTAACATTCTGATTTGTTGATTAAGCAGAGATCCAAAGTTTTGAAAACTGTCATTCCTCCTCCTGCCAGTTGCTTCTTGTTTGGGGCTCTTAAAGACTGACTGTAAAACTTCCTCCCTCCCCACCTCCCCTGCCAAAGTTCACACAAAATCACAATCATAAACATTTATTCAGGGTCTTGTATGTGAAAAATCTCTGGTGAGGGTGAGCAAGAGGAGGAAAGAAAGAATAAAATTTGGTCGCCGCTTTTGCAAGCTTACAGTGCAAAGCCGAGAGCGCGTACACACAAGGACTTTAGCATGAAAAGGAATGCATCTCTCAGAAGCCAGAGGGCGGGAAACGTTTAAAGAATAAGTTCTTCTCAACCTATTCAGGTTTTCAGGTTGAGACCATAGCGTTCCACTGCATGTGAATGTGCTAGGCAGGTCTGTCTTCTGTGTGGCTTTCTAGCTGGTGAGGAGTGGAACCACCTTTTAATGTATTAATCCACAGTTGGCAAGTTTAGGCACCACAAAAGGCAACGTCCTGGTGGTCATACAGTTGATGTCTTTCACCATTGCAACCTTATTGCTTTCCTCATGATCTGTTCCTTCACAGGTGTAAAATGTGGTGAGAATCTCTTTATGTCAAGTGACCCTACTGCCTGGTCAACTGCAATCCAAAGTTGGTACGATGAGAGCGAAGATTTTGTCTATGGTGTAGGGCCAAAGCCTGCCAATGCCGTGGTTGGGCATTATACCCAGGTAAAGGGAACAAGTGAAAATACTTCCGCCACAAATGTTCCAATATAGAAAGCTTCTTCAAATTATGACCAAGTCCGGTGCTTAGTTTGAGGGAAAGAACCTGCACAGGTACAATCCAGTCCTCGCGTTGGACCAGTACTTCACCTCAGCTGTCATGTTATTTCCACTTTAGTTCTTGCAAAACTCTTGGTTGGAAAGTACACTCTGCATTTTGCCAGCCTGATAAATGAATAAAGTAGTGAGTGTACATGAAAATGAGATCTGTTAAAAGTCTGTGACTGTTTCAATCATTTAAATATTTCCATACAATGCACGGCTGCAAACTATAGCAGTAACATTTTTTCAAGCTTTTATTTGGTATTTGTTCTTTAATCTTTTCCTTTTCTTACTGTATTCTTGATATATTCCCGGGTGGATCTGTAGCTTGTTTGGTATTCATCTTACCAAGTTGGATGTGGAATTGCTTATTGCCCAAATCAAGAGAGTCTAAAATACTACTACGTTTGCCACTATTGTCCTGCGTGAGTATACACTTTAGAATTTAACCTTTAAAAGACGGCATTTAAATTCAGCTCTGTAGGCATTTACTTTTTTGCCTCTATCTTATCTATTTTTTGAGTTATTTATGAAAAGTAAAAACATTTATAAAGAAAATGTATTGTTTATTATTAAAGTTATCTTTTAATATATGTTACTGATGTTAAAAAATATAAAAATTACATTTACAATTTAAATTACATTTTGTCGGGAACTAAAGTTCCCTTTCGTCCGATAAAGGTTTAATGTCAATAATTCCATCTGCAATTTAATATTTTTAAATTCTCATATATTCAACACATCAGAATAAAAATATATGTTTCAGTGAAGGGGAGCGATAAATCTTAGGCAGTGCTTTTTAAGGTGAGAAACATTCAACTTATCAGAGAAGAGACCGAGTGCTCAGGTCCAAGGATACATCTGAAGCTCTCTTTTCTCAATTATAAAATGATGTCTTTTCTCCCCATTGCCTTTCCCTAGGGCTCAAGGTTACTCAGTGAGCTTGGGGAGTGTGTGTTTCTCTGGATTTGGTATCAGTGCTCGCTAATTTTACACTCTGGGAGGGTGGAAGCTTGATTAAGCAAGAGGTGGAGGTGCCATGGCAAATTGGAGATCAAAAATTGTGATTTCTGCCTCTTCTGCTAAAATATTTCCTCTTCTGTTTCTCTAAAAACCGTTTACATTTTTGCAGTTAAAAATGATCCATTCCTTTGCTTTTCAAAGGGTTTTTGAGAACTCTTCAATGTATTTCAGAGTCCAGAAATAGTTAGCATCTTAAGTCTTTGTTTCTCAATAGTTTTTACACACACACACAAAACCCACACAACCAACCAACAACATCAGAAGAAACCATACAGCTCCATAATGAGCCATCTCATACTGTCTAGATTTGTAGCAGGAAATATGTTGCCTCATCAAACAATATGAAGTCATCCTCGATAAATCCTATGGATATATTGAAGATCTAATCTCAACATATCTGCTAGCCTTAGTTTCTTTTAATATTTGAAATTCTTTATGACTAGAGACAGGGAGATCCCCCAAACCAAACCTCCCACAGGATTTATTTTGAGATTGCAGACAACCTGGGATATTGATCTCCCACTTGAGAAGTGTGGCCTCCAAAGTCATTTTCCTACAAGGATCTATTAAGATTTACTAGAAAGAAGTGAAAATGCCATGGCAGAATGCATTCAGAATCACTGCCTGACTGTGAGAGGGGAGGTGTCTGGAGCCAGGCATCTGAAGTGAGAGGTGGCGTGAGCAACGAGGGAAAGCAGAGATGAGAGAACATCCAAAACACTTCTGTGTCTATTTTATGATTTTTCCAAGGGCTCACACACATACAGTTCTATTCTGTGCAGGAAGACTGAGATTCACATGCGGAGCCTTGGGCCCTTGGCCCACTTGGCTGAGATCTGGACTCTCATCTATTTTCAAATGAATTAATTGGCCAAAGGGGTAGGGATCATCAGGGAGTGACAACTTGGTCCCTGTAAGGTGATTACACCCTGGATATTGATGTTTATCAAAACTTTTTTACACTAATGCTCCTTTTTTTAAAAACTTTATTTTTATTGTTGACACTATTACAGATGTCCCCCTTTCCACGGCCTGTTGCTCAGGTCCACCCAGCTCCCGCGCCCCCCTCCCTCTAACCGGCCCCACTGTGCTGTCTGTGTCTTTGGATTATGCATATATGTTCTTTGGCTAATCCCTTCACCTTCTTTCATCCAGTGCCCTCTGCCCCTCTCCTCTGACAGCTGGCAGTCTGGTCCATGCATCCATGCCTCGGTTTCTGTTTTCTTCGTCAGTTTATTCCTTCTTTGGTAAACATAAAAATCTCTCACACACCATCGCTGGAAACAGAAACCTTCCCCAACTCTGCCAACCCCACAAATACACACACCACTGACTACTGAAATATATAGCATCGCCCCCTGTCTAGAAGTAAAGATCTCTGTCTAGGAGATACGTTCTACCCCTTGCCACCACATTGGAGTTCACTGCCTTACTCATCGGCCCAAGTCTCCGGGGAGATGAAGCGAGTGTTGAAATACACTCTGAATTATCGCAGTTGTTCAACCTGCAGAATTATAGTCAAGGAGACTGGGCAATGTCTGAGCTATTTTTTTAATTTAGAGGCCATCTGAATTACACATTGGGAATTATAACGTTTCACTTTTGTTAACATAACTGACTACATGTAAGAGCTGTGTCTGTTTGGTGACTGATGCTAGACTTTGAGCATAAAGGAAACAGCAAGGTGAAACATACCTGACGTCATGTGTTTTAAATTTCAGCGGTAACAATGTGAATAAAAAGAACACCCCTTACCAACAAGGAACACCCTGTGCCAGCTGCCCCGGTAACTGTGAGAGCGGCCTGTGCAGTAAGTGGAAAGTGATTAACCAGCTATTATCACAAAGGCTCCATATTTTATCTTCTTTTTATGGATTAGGAAATCTCCTAAAGTTACCAATTTAAATACTATCTTGCTGCAAAAGATAGAAAGATTCCTCAGCAGAATGTGTGCTAAGTAAACATATTATACATGTAATCTCCATATTTTTTGTAATAAAAATAATGTCATCTTTAACATAATCAAACATCTGCCATTAGTGGGTTTTTGTGACTATGCAGAGCTCATAAGTATTAACTGTACATATTTCTGGTAACTAGTTCATTTCATCAAAGTATCATCACAGAAAAGGTGGTATTTTAAAAGGATTGAAAGTGTGTAAATCTACGGATGTGAGATTACATTGTGGCTCAGTCTAGACAGGCAAGCCAACTATTAAGTTTCTTTTTGTGCTAATGTGTTCTTCATGCTGATTACCACATTTTTACAATACAATTGGAGCCATAGTGTCTGGCTTCATAAATGATCACTTACCCTATAATTTTACAGTATTTTTGTGCACTTTTTAATGACAAAATCCAACCTTTACACAAAATTGACTCATAGAACCCACAAACGTTGTTGCAAAAGGAGAGAATACGATAAATGTCATATACATCATTTTTAAGTTGTCACAAACAGAAGTAAAAATAGCTGTTGGCCTTTTATAGTTGGGATGCTTTTATTAAAATTATGAACAACAGGGCTGAGCCATTCACTGAGATTTTTACTTTTCAAATGCTTTCACCTTCAGTTAGCACTCTTTTTGGCTGAACTACAGCTGTAATTCAGGGTACTGATGATATCAAAGCTATAAATCAACTAAAGAAGAAAAAAGTTGAATATTTATACCTCTGCTGAATGCAGTTTGCTAAGGAGCTTGGAATTATCCAATTAGCAATAAGCATTTCAACTGAAATATATATATTTTTTAATCCCCACCCAAGAATATTGTTTTCTATTGCTTTTCAGAGAGAGTCAGAGAGAGAGAGAGAGAGCGAGAGAGACATTGATGTGAGAGAGACACATCGATTGGTTGCCTCCCACACATGCCCCGACTGGGGCATCGAGCCTGCAACCGAGGAACTCGCCCTCGACAGGGAACCGAACCCGGGAGCAGTCTGCTGGCTCATGTTCTAACCACTGAGCAACCAGGCTAGTGCTCAGCTGAAAGATTTTAAACAAAAAACTGACAAGTTCAGAATCATACTTTATATAAAGGTTTCTAGCAATAGTGTGTAGGAACAACTGAATGGAATCTAGATAGAAAACTTTTGAAAAACATGGGTTGTAAAAAAAGGGATGTTTTTAATGCATTACTGGCAAAATGAATGAAGAGCAATGGGTTGAGAGACAAGAAGTAGAATAGCCAGTGTTTGTTACCTGTGCTGGTTGGATGCTGGTCAGAAGTAGAAAAGCAGTTCAGACTGATTGAGTTCCTGGCCCAAAGTACTGAGTAGTGAGAAAGCCATTTCTCTGTTCGTGGGAGGGCTGTAGGAAGGCAAACCCCCAGAGTCGTCAGCCTTGCGTTGTGGGTGATATGATGAGTTTAGTTTGAGATGTGTTGAGTTTGGGGCCCCTGGGGAACATCCAAGAAGAAATACCAGAAGGAAAGGGGGCATACGATCACTGTTTAACACCTTAATCTTCCCTCAGAAATCACTTTCTCCAGAAAGAAAAACACTGGAGTCTAAAGCAGCGAGGTCCAATAGTGTCTCTATCAACATGTGTCTTAAAGTTCTCTAGTCACGCATGGCCTTTGATCATGTGAAATGTGGCTAGTAAGATTAAGAAAATAAATTATTTGTTTTATCTAATTTAGAATAATTTAAATTTAAATAGCTATATGTGGCTAGTTGCTTCCATATTAGCCTCTGCAGGTGTACAGAGCTTTATTTATATTCATTTTACTGCCTTTGCTAGGGGAGGAAAGTAGATCAATTCAGTTTAGAAACAAGTCTGTCACCAAGTTCAAAATTTTAAAAGTGATGGATTAAACAGGGAGCTCAACTAAAGCACCTTATGTGTCCCTCAAGAAGTGAAAGGCCCATTATAGTGTAAGAGACGCTGACTTCTTTGTTCAGTCCTACCCCCCTATGCATTTTTTATTGATTGATTGATTGATTGATTGAGAGAGAGAGAGAGAAAGAGAGAGAGGCATCCATTTGTTGGTCCACTTATTTTTGCATTCATTGGTTGATTCTTATATGTGCCTTGCCCAGGAATCAAACCCGAAACCTTAGTGTATGGGGAAGACACTCTAACCAGCTGAACTGCCCAGCCAGGCCCCATCACACCTGTGCATTTTGAATGTATAAATTGTTTTGCTGCTACTAAGGAAAATGATAATAATGTGACTAATCTGTTTTTGTTACAGCCAACAGTTGTGCCTATGAAGATTTGCTTAGTAACTGTGATTCCTTGAAGAAAACAGCTGGCTGTGGACATGATTTGCTCAAGGAAAAGTGCAAGGCTACTTGCTTATGCGAAAACAAAATTTACTGAAAAACTCAACCTTGCAACATGCAAGACTAAGTGGAGAAGGGCTTCATCCTTTAATTGACACATCCCAGGAGGGAAATTGTAAGCATGTTAGTTACAAATTTGAATCCAAATAGTAATGCATCTTTTTCTCTTGGATCTTCACAGAAATCTCTTTCATACATCTATTTACAAAAACAGTGTAGTCCATGACCACAGCTTTGGACTGATTGATAAACTTGATACTTTAAAGTTAATGAGTTAAATCAAGCTGAGGATTTTTAAAGTTGTATAACTATAGGATTTAAAAGGTCACTAGAATTTCAGACTAAGATGAAGAATTATCTGTTTCCTGAAACAACTTGGAAAAAACCAACTGTAACATCATTGTCATTCCTACTACATGACTTTTTATGTGTATAAAGAATGAATTCAAAGATTGAATCTGGCTTTGTTGTATGGTCTCCTTTCTAAACAAAAGTAATCAGCTTTTAGAATAAAGAACTTATCTAAGCAACCACATAGATGTGATTCTTGTGCATATTTTATAGAATTCATCATCACTCCAACTAGACTCAGCCCAGATAAATTATTATAAAGAACAAAATTTCCAAAATATTTACCTATAAAATTAAACTTCAACAACAAAAGGAATTAATGTATACTTAGTATTTGTTTGTTTTTGTTTGGTTGGTGGTTGTTTCACTTTTTGACATTTTGATAACTCTTTTAGTTGATAAATTGTTAAAAAAGAGGGTATTATCTGACAATATATACAAATATATCCTTTCCCCCCAAAAAGAAAAACAATAGTAATAAGTGTTTTGGAGAGATTTACCACTGATAAGTCTTTGCCTACACTGTAATTTAAGATTAATAAAACAACAGAATAAAGTAGGCCCGTTTCATGGATGGGAAAATATACTTTGAAAATCTAAAAAAAGTGAAATGACTGTTGATAGTGGTCTGAAAATAGGGCTGGCCAGACAGAAGGTGAACTAGCATGAGCTGTTGATGCCTCCAAGATGAAATCATCTAAAGTATCTCACACTCATTAAAGTAATTGAATTCATAATTCTAACACTCCTATAAGGGAAATTTCCAGGCCCAGGCAGTTTCATTGCAGAGTTATACCAAACATTTCAAAAAGAATTTATACAAATTATACCTAGTCTTTTTCAGAAAATTGAGTAAGAAGGAATACTGTTAATTCTTCCTTTGAGGCTAGTATTATCCTACTACTAAATCCGAAGACATTAAAGGGGGTTAAAAAAACAAAAGCTATAGATTGATAGCTTTCACGAACATGCATAGAAAAATTCCAAACAAAAATTAAGTAAATTAACCTGGGATTATAAAATAAGAATAATACACCCTAACCTCATGGGATCTGCTCTGTAGGTTCAGGGTTGAGCTAACATCCAGATCAAACTCGTGTGCCGCCATGTTAACAGGCCAAAGGAGAAAACCATGTTTCAATAATTAAAAAGCAAGTATTTGACAAAATCTGATATCTAATCATGATAAAACTCTCAGTAAACCAAGGATAGAAGGGAAGTTTGGATGCCATTTTGGAATATATGTTATATATATATATCTTTATATCTTTATTGATTTCAGAGAGAGGAAAGGAGAGGGACAGAGAGAGAGGGAAACATCAATGATGAGAGAGTCAATGATCAGCTGCCTCCTGCACGCCCCCACTGGGGATCGAGCCCCCAACCCGGGCATGTGCCCTGACCGGGAATCGAACCTGATTGCCTGGATCCCAGGTCGATGCTCAACCGCTGAGCCACGCCCGGCCGGGCTGTCTTCTATACTTATGTAAACAAATGTTCAACTCTAGTGAATAAGACTTTCTTGTTTGTTTTTAAACTTAGACACATGGGTTAATAGTTCTGAAACTACTATGTATCCTATAATTGAACAAATAAATAAAAATATCACAAAAAATGGGAATCAGGTTTTTCACTGTTTGAGAAAAGATTTACATATATGGAAGAGAGGCATGCAGGAATAAACCCTGTGTTGCTGTATTAGAATTGGAGGTATTGCTATGAATTGATAGTTTTCAACACATTGAGACAGATATAGCTGCTAAGGAACAAAGCAGAAGGAATCCCTGCCCTTAAGAATGCACAGCTTTTTAAAGTAGGAGATAAGAACATAAAATTTCCCAGCCACTGAGGGGGACACACCATTCTTCAGGATGGTAAAAATTATTCATAAAATGATATAATACATAGCACCAAAGAAATGTAGGCTTACTACTTTTTATTCATTTATTTTAATTTATCTTCATTATCAAAAGTATTACATATGTCCCCTCATGACTTTTAAATGGAACACATCATGGCTTTGAATGAAAGAAAGTTCCAGAAAACACAACTTCATGTTGGCTGCATGAAGCATTCATCTTTATCACTGTAACACTGGCAGCCAGCAGCAAAGATTGGTGGCTGATGAGTGGCCACTGGAGGCTTCAATGGCATCCGGTAGACAAACTCATCTTTGAGGTCTGGAGTTACTGGCTACATGCTCACTGCGTGTTCCCAGGTGTCAGAGTCCTTAGCAGCCTAGATCTGTGAAAGAGGCTGAGTAGAAGAGTAGGAAAAGAGCAGATGTTATGGGGGAGGTGACAATATTTCTTAGTACATATGACAAAATCCCTAGGGTGGAAAGTTTAGGGTTTATGGCTCTTTCAAGAGCAAATAGAGGGGAGCACTACCTCTGCCTGTCCCTGTCACATACCTACGTGCACACGCACACGAAAACAGTTAATGGGAACTGTCATAAAACCAAATCCCCTAGTGTTGGGAAATAGAATTATAAAAGATACTCTTGATTTGTATGTAGAATTTTAAAATGTCATCAGATACCTATTTCTTTATTTCAAATTGAGATAATTTTTCTCAATTTTAAGTGAAATAAAGCTTATAAGATGTTTAGGAATAAGAGATATTAATGATGCTCAATAAATTTTAATTTACTTATCTGTTTCCACTTATTGCTACCAAAGTTAATTAGAAACATGTTACGTTCCAGGTGCTATGCTGACTTTTTCATATTCACCTTTGCCCTTTGTCCTCACAATAGTCCTTTGTCTGCACCTTGCAGATGAGTAAATTGGGAAGGGAGAGTTAAGTACCTTGTCCAGATATAGCCTGCAAAAGTCATTGCATGAACTCTATCCAGATATACCTGACAAAGCCTAATGCCTTTAAGCACTACACAATGCTGTTTTTTTAATCTAGTCAAAACTTATTTGACTGTTTGGACCAAAAATGTAGTCACATTATTTCTTTTGAAAAGAAAAGTTTTCTTTACATTAAGTTCTGCAATAGAGTTCTCATTCTATATTTATGGAAATGTGTTTCTTTTTGACTATGTGACTTTTAAGAGTTTTAGTTCAATGGTAGTCAGGCATAAAATAGCTCCTTATAACTTTATGAAATCACATAGTGACTCAATTCTGTTGACTTCCATTGCTACTATCTTTTTAAATTTATTTATTTTTATTTATTTTCTTATATATCTTTATTGATTTCAGAGAGAGGAAAGGAGAGGGAGAGAGAGACAGAAACATCAATGACGAAAGAGTCTTGATCGAGCCCGCAACATGGGCATGTGCCCCAACCGGGAATCGAACCCCGATTGCCTGGATCCCAGGTCGACGCTCAACTGCTGAGCCACGCCAGGCCGGGCCATTACTACTATCTTAAAATTTGGTTTATAAGTATAAAAAAGGTGACAAGAAATCGATTAAATCCTAAAGAGTATATTGATTGTGTGAGTGCATGAGAAAGCCTTCCAGGGTGCTAGATGCATAGCTACATACCTGTTGAAAAATTAAATTGACAATAGACCCTTGAGTTTGAGCACTATATTGTATAGAAATTATACCTCAATTTTAAAACAATAAACAGATGCAGAAAAGAAGGAAGGGAAGGAGGGGGAAAAAAAAAAAAGTTAAGAAAATAAAGGCAAAATAGATTACCATGAGGCACAGGTTTGGGAAGAAAATCAGTGTTCAGTTTGGGGGATATTAAGAGTGGAGGTATGGAGTGGCAGTTGAATTTCTGAAGTAAAAATTTGGGAATCATCACTGTGTAGATGATACTTGAAGTGATGATACTACATTAGACTCTAAGAGAGGTAGCAAAGTAATATGTTAAATCCCAGGACCTGGTGAAGCTTGTGAATATGATGCAAATATCCACCAAAAATGTCAAAAGCTACTAACTCCTGTACTAAATTTTTTTCTATCAAAGAGATGAATCTTTAAACTCTATGCCCCAGAACAATTATTTGAAGGAGGAAAAGAGTAATTTCACCTGTGAGGAGACAGTCACAAATCATCTATGTGCTTGGGGAATATTGAAAACGCTTTCAAGTCATCTGGGAGTAACTATCGGTTAACCTGAAAAATGATGATGAGGGCGAGCAATGGTGCGGGGATGACATGGGGAATGGAAGAGCTGAAAGTATCTTGAAAGTTGGATATTAATCTGTGGGAAATACCTATAATTTAAAATATTTTTATTTTACTTTTTATCATTCTTGAACCCTGGTTTCATATATAAAACAGAGTAAGACGTAGACAGACACTTTTTGAAAGATTGTGCTAAACTAAATTTGTTTCTCGTTTTGATAGTGTATTCGTATGAATGAAGATTGATCCACTTTATAAAACCACATGTGTGTGTGCCTATAGTTCATCTAAACTTTCAGCAGAATTTTACTAAATTCTTATTAAAACATGGGGACTATCACCCAGTCGCCGTGGCTCAGTGGTTGAGTGAACCAGGAGGTCATGGTTCAATTCCGGGACAGGGCACATGCCCGGGTTTTGGGCTCCATCTCCAGTAGTGGATGTTCAGGAGGCAACCAATCAGTGACTCTCTCATCATTGATGTTTCTATTTCTCCATCTTTCTTCCTCTCTCCAAAATCAATAAAAACATATTTAAAAAAAAAAGAGGGGGGGGACCATTTGCAAATAAAATGGGTGCTTGAAACAGGTTTGAAAAAATGCTGATTAAGGCAAAATGTCAGTCTACAGTTCTCTGTACTGGATTTGTTCAACAGAAGATTCTGACCTTGATTGGAAGTTATTAATCAGTGCTTCCATTGACTTCTATGCAAGCAGGAAATTAGGCAGTGCGTTGGGTAGACACTGAGCAACCTCTCAGTATTTGTAAATAAAATTTCATTTCTTGCCCAGCCAGGCATGGCTCAGCGGTTGAGCGTCGACCTGGGATCCAGGCGATCAGGGTTCGATTCCCAGTCAGGGCACATGCCCGGGTTGCGGGCTTGATCAATGACTCTCTCATCATTGATGTTTCTATCTCTCTCTCTCCCTCTCCTTTCCTCTCTCTGAAATCAATAAAGATGTATTTAAAAATAAAAATAAAAAAATTTCATTTCTTAGTTAAACCAAGTGATGTCATCAACTTGCAATGAAATATTTGGGGAGCCCCCAAACTCCAGACAAGGTAACCTAGAGCTACTCTGCTAGA